GCGCGCCGTATTATGTAGGCCCTCTGCTTCTCTGCAGTCGCGTGACCCGCTGGCCTACTGGTTAGCGCAGCCGTTTTGAAATTTCGTGACCCGGGTTCGATTCCGGGTGGGGTCAATTTTCTTTTTCTTTTATTTTTCTTTTATGTTTTGATCCTAATTTTCAGCTAGAACACTTTCTAGCCAGGTAGGAAAGCTAGACGCAGAGAAACGAGATATCCCTCGCCACCAAAAAGAGCACCCCCAACTTTGAGGCCCTGTATCTCAGGAACTAGAAGAGCTAGAAAATAAGTTTAAGAGCCAATTTTGTGTAGAATTTTATGTAGATCAAAATTGCTGTTGACACCTATTAGATAAAATTACTAGTTTTCGAGATAACTCGATTTTCCTAAGACCCACCTCCCCGAACGCTCCCTCGCCGAGCTTCTTGATAAAAACGACACTCTCGTGATCGATGATCCAATCCGGTTTTCCGATTGGTGACTTCAATTTGACACCGGAGACTTTGGTCACCGGGATTCCATTCGTCCTTAAAAATTGAGAAGTTTGAGGGAGGATTAAATAATTCATAAGGAAAGTTTGCTCTTCGTGCGAAATAAAGGGCTTCTGAGATCAAATTTTCACTCAACCTTGATTTTTTAGAACTCGAAAATGTCAATTTTAAGCCGAGATATGTTGAATTTTGTGGAATTGCTCAGAATAAAATTTTTCAGTTTTTAGACTATAACTCGGCTCAAAATGAAGATTTCGAGTTGATTTGGAATGCAATTTGTAGGGAATTTAAAGGCGCATCTGAGGATACAAAATTCGATAGGTAGGGCAAAAGTTGCTCCGTGGCCTAACTTTTCCAAAAATTGGTTTTCTAGGCCACCGTACCAAATTTGGGTGCACCCAGTTCCAAATGACTTCACATTCATTTTCCAGTTTTCAGAATTCAAAATTATTGATTTCTAGCCGAGTTATGCCCAATTCCGTGCAATTGCTCAGAATAAAACTCACATATGCCACTGAATCAATTGCTCCACTGTCTTCTCCTTATGCCCCTCGAACCAAACAGTGCCTGCCGGATCGGTGTTCACGGCGAAGTTGTGAAGTTTTCCATCGTAACGAACCGAGAGGATCATGGACATTTTGCCTGAAATTCGGAGAGGGGAAACTGCGCTCCACTGTAACGGGGGCTGGCGGGAATTTGAAATTTTCGTGCTGGAAAAATGCCGGAAAATACTGGGAAAATACCGGAAAAATACCGAGAAAAAACCGGGAAAACCCAGTTTTCTCATTAGAGCGCATTCCCATCAGTCCAGCGGAGCGCACTTACCCTGCACCTCCGACGCCCTCAACAAAAACGATCCGTGCTTCACTAGCAACTCTTCGGCATCCTGCCGCTGCAAAACTCCATGGAACCAATCGATATTCGTCCGTTCCGACGTTGTGGTCTCCGTGGATACCGTATCCGTTGTGGTCGCATTCAATGACATCTACAGTAATCCCAATGAATACAGTAGCCCAATTCAAAGGGACATGTAGGCTTACGTTCTCAAGTAGAGACTTTCTTTTCGATTGAATATTTTGCCGAAAAAATGTTGAAAATAATCGATAATTTCTTGTGAGTTTTGTTTTACTTAAAAGTCCACGTGGCCTACGTCGTTTTTTGAATTTCCAGTGTTTTCTGTAGTGTTTTTCCCGTGAAAAACCCGGAAAAAAACCCGGAGAAACGACGGAAAAAACGGTAAATTTTTTTGTGCTTACAATTTTTTTTCTCGGTTTCTACGCTCCATCTCACACGGGCTTTTACAAATTTCATATTGCGTCTTTAAAATCTGACAGTAAGCCACGCTTAGGCCGAAGGAGCGCGCACCATGTTTCCAGAGCACTTTTCAGTAATAACTTTCGATCAAATTATGATGCGAAGAAAAATTTCTATTCAATTTGATTCAAAAAAAGCTTAGGCCCTGATTTTTAATGTTTCAGCAAAATGAGAAAAATGCGTACGTATCGCTGAGTCGCCACGCAGTTAGCATGCGACCCTACAGTAAGACAGAGCCCGCGAATGAAACTTTTTGAAAACACGTACAAAAAAATTCACTGTGGGAAGAGAAATCCGGAAAAATCTCGGGAAAAATTCCGGAGAAACCCTCAAAAACTCCGGAAAAACCTCCGTAAATCCCAAAAACTCCGGAGAAATCCCGGAAAAATTCCAGAACAACCTGGAAAAAAACCCACCACAAACCCCGGAAAATCTCTGCAATGTCAAACAACCGCCAAATCAGGTGTACACACTTTATTCAGAGAGACATAGAGGGATTATAGAGAGAAAATGTATGTACAAAAAAAGAAGCGCCAAATTTGAAAAATTCCTAATTTTTTTTAAATTTTGATTTATTTTTAGATCTTTTCCCACACAAAGTCCGTTTCAAAATCATTCAAAACAACATTTTTATGCATCGAATTTTCGTCATCGAGAGTAGAGCAGGAAGGTTTTTATGAGAAAAAGTGGTTATACAAAAGAAAGAAACGAGCATTATTTTGTGTATGTGATGAATGAAATTGATCGTGTTTGGAGCGGGAAAAAACGACAATAATTGTGTGTAAATTTTTATAAGAAAAGCGAGGATGTAGAGAGTGGAGGGTGACAGAAAAATATACACTATAGAACCTTGTTGTGCTTCAAAATCTGTCGGTGGGCTGCAGATTTTCCAGTTAGACTGAAAAAAAGAAACCCGTTTTTCTCAGAACAACAAGACCCTATATTAGACTTTAGTGGAAAAAATAGGAGCAAATTTTTGCAAAATTCGCTCACCAAATACACTTTTTTTTTAGAAAAAAGAAAGTATATAAAGAGAAAAACGCGGTGTGTACAGTACAAATTGTGGGGGAATTTTAATAATAAAACGGATCCCCACAGATACAGTAAAAAGAGACAAAAGAAAACGGTGCATGTAATTTTGGAGGAGGAGAAAGATGGGGTGTCTTGTGTGTGTGGGGGGATAGTCTATGAAAATGTGTGACAAGAGAAAAAAAAGTATAAGAGAGGGAGGGTATAAAAGGAATAACTTGATATTCGGTGCGCAAAAAAAACAGAGAAAAGTACAACTTTTCCCGCTTCAAGACTAGTTGCAGGAGGAAGATGGGGTTGATGGGAAAGGGGATGGGATGGTATGTGTGATGTTCGGGAGAGAGTAAATGACAGAAAAAAAACAAGAAAGGAATTACAAAAAAATCATTATATGCTCTCTCACCGCGCACGCACAACAACAACAACACCGAGAAAAGAAGAGAAAAAAGAGGTGGCAAATAGTGAGAGAGAGAGAGATGATAAGGGAGAAAAAAGACGCAGAGAAGAAACATGTTTAAATTCTTTGAACTTTATCCGACACAACGACAGGATTATTTTTTCGAATCGCTTCACGTTCCATCGTCTTGTAGTCAAATTGGCAATTGTGCGCCTGATCGTAACGATGATCTCCGCAGTACAGTCCTCCGCATCTACACGTGAAACCTGCAAAAAATTGGAAAATTAGGTACATTTGTTTTCAGGTACGATTTTCAGACGCATAGTTAGCAGATTTCGCGCGCCTCAGACGCATTTGCAGTTCTGTGGACATCCAGACTGACTGGAAAGACGTCAGAGGCGTCAGAATAGGCTCGAGGAAATTGGTTTAAAAACTAGAGCTCTCTAATAGAAATCTCACAGACTGGAAAGGCGTCTAGCCGTCCGAATAGGTTCGGGAGCTCTCTAATTTTGAAAAAAATTGTGTTGTGCGCGCCTCCGACGCTTTTGCAGCCCATTTTCTCACTTCTAATCAACATCAAGATACTCACCAGTAAGTCCAACCCGTTTTTTACACATATGGCATCTATTCGCTTTTTTCACCGGGGCAGGCGCGTCCGTGACGGCGACTGGTGGCGACGTTGTTAATGTTGTCGTGAGCGCTGTGCTTTCAGCAATTCTGAAAATGAGGGATGATTAGAAAAAATAGGTTTACAGGGAGCTCTAATACACATACGTCACAGCGTCTTCCGTAATGTTAATCACTTCCTCACAGTCCAACTTCACCGTCGTCGCATCCGACACAGCTGCGGCGGCTGCTTTCATACAAATTTCCACACTTGATGGGTCAGATTTAAGGGCGGAGGAGGTGGCGGCCATTGAAGAAGGGGAGACAACTGAAAAATATTGATTTTGAGTTGAAAAATTGTTGCGTGCGCCTTTAAGGCATCTCTCCTGACCCAATCATATTCAAACCCTGAAAACCTTCGAGAAAAAAGTACATGCGCCTTTAAGGTACATCTCTACCATAGTTCTAACCCCAAAACATGATCTAAAGTGGTGTATCACATGACCAAGAGACACCCCACAGCTGATAAGATTGGTCAGCAACAGCCAATCAGGCGGTGAATAGGGAGGGGTGATGATGATTAAATAAATTTCAGATCATAAATCCAATTCTTGATTTTTGATTCAATTTCCGCTCCCCTCACAAAGTTCTTTTGCCATCGCCGGTGAGCTCCAAGGAAAGAGCGCGCGCGCATTAATAATTCAAAAACTTTTCATCTAGAGAGAAAAAGAGAGATTAGTCATCATGAGGAAAAAAATTCCAGCACGAAAGATACATATCTAATATCGCAAGTTCTAGAAGACACGCATAAAAAGAAGCAAGTCTAATGATGATGCTAGTAGAGGAACCTGAGGAGGAACCTAGAAAAGAGAGAAAATGTCACGGAGCACAGCGCGCCGCGCGGGGGAGGTTCTCTGATGACCATATGTTCAAAATAATCCCCACTAATAAGGACGCGTTATCCTCAATTATTTAATTCAATTTATATGCAAATTATCCGCGTTAATTAATACGGGGCGGACCTCGAGGAGGCCTAAAATTCATTCTAAATGGTCTAAAATGCTCTCAAAATAGCCGAATATCGGATTTCCTGCCTCCATTTCCTATTTTACAGTACAAATCTGATGTAATTTTGTGTAAAAATTGCGCGGGTCAAAAATCAATTTTTGTGTAATAAATCACAAATTGGTCAAATTTCCCAATTTTTTCTTAAAATCAATAAAAACTCACCAGGAGAAGTCAACCTGACAGCCTCTTGCTGACGCTTCAGCGTATTCTT